ACCACACTATTCATGTTTTCCAGATCAGTCCAATTATGCTTGTTCTGGATCTGATCACACGAAGACCCCAGTCTGTCCTCCTAAGTTACACGTATCCACTTGAAAGTCTCATCTCCATCTCTCGTAAGCCTTAAATAAGTGTTGCTAGCGATTCAAAACATAAGTGAACGTATTGTTCATCACAAAGAGGAAAACTTTGGTTTCCCTTTCTACCGATTGCTGACAATCAGGTGCCTCGGTCAGGCAGCATCTAAGTCGGCTCAGTCCTTTTCTTGATATCTGCTACAACCTAACACGTTTGAACTTTATGTGAAAAAGTAGAAATCTTTGGCCTCAAATTCGACCTTAACATATACGATTGAGTTCAGTTTGTTTCCAAACTTTACATATATTCCGCTGTAGATTCACCACAGTATAAATTCATCTGAAATACAAGCCTCCTATACTATTTTTATTTATATTCTATCGTCCTAAAACAATTCACAACATAATCACCCTGAGTTTTGATTCGTCTATTTTTTCTTCCTATCCCCTATCATACTTGTCATACTTTCTGGAAAATGCAAACAATTGTTTTGAATTTTTAACGGGGATGACTCCTCTAATCCCTTTATGGTTACCATCCCAATTTCTTTAAATCTTCCCTTCATAAAGTACCAAACGCATCATTCCTGATCGACCTTGCTACAACCTACACGTTTTCTACAACTCAGGGATTACCAGGTCTTCTTTCATGAAATTTCACTGGTGATTTACTAATTTTTACATTTTACTACAACTTCAATCCCTTGCAAGTCCAAAAGTATGTATCCTTATGAATATCATCATTTCCCTTTGCGCCCCGAACTATATTTCTTTTCTCACCTCTTGTGTTATACAAAATTTGTTTTTCATTTTCTGCTAGATGCCTTTTTAATCTAATTTGTCTTCCGTTACACAAAACCCAAATTCGCCACACTCTTCATTACAACTGCAATCATTTGTAAAATGGTTCATTGATCTCCGCAATCACCCTTCTATATCGCCCTCTCTCCTCACAAACTTTGCCATCACATTGAAATCGAAGTGACAAGTCCGTTACATGAAAATCACTTTACTGTCCTCTTTATTGTTACAATGTTGATTTTTATTCCTCTGAGGGTGGCAAATATTTTCCATTCCGTTCGCCACCGATCTATTGTATACGAGAATACGCAGCCCTTTCCAAATATATGTTACCAGCTGCTGAATTGCTGAATTTCAATTACATCGTGATCCCTCAGAAACAATAAGCTTTAAAACAACTTCAGACTATCCGAGTTCTTAATTTCTATCTACGTTCGCAGGTGATTTGATTACAATAGCATGAACTAGACTCCATATAGCTTGTCCCTGATTTAGAACCCCTTATATTCACAGTATTTCATCTCGTGAGGAATTAACGTACTATTTCACTGTGAAGCACCACACATGTATAATTAAAATCTGCAGTGGCATCGAACTGATTTACCAATGACCCATTATTTGTGTTCCTGGTTAATCGAAACTAATTCGGTTTTCTCTTTGCCTCAGAAATGAGGCAATTTAAACGTTTTATTTATATTTCCCATGCACAGTGATAGTCACCCGTACATCTGCATTGGTTTCTCGTGTGGACCACACTTCTTGAGAGCTCACCAATTGTTCACGTTCTAATGCAGTGTATCCTCCCGATGATCAACAAATGTACTGAATAAAAACGTACATAGAGACCCATCATTGATAAAGTATATTAATAAGTGGTTAATGAACAGACTGCCACCGGGGTTAGAGCCGCAAAAACCTAGCTGCAAACTTATACAAGTCATGAGCATTGTAAGCTTGCATGGTTAACGTTTAATTCCAACAGGTGTGCGCTCTGGATAATGGTCATTGACTCAGAGGTAAGGGTTTCAAATTACCACCCGAGAGTTCGCTTCAAGAGTTTTGTTAGGAACTAAAACTACACCACCGATTAGGAATAGGGTATGAACAAGACCACGTTTATATGCAATTAGCACAAAACTTCCGAAGTGCATCTACGGATCCGTCCAAGTTGTTTTACGATAGACCATAATTCCATAGTTCCATCTAACTTTCGGATGATATTTGTGTCAAGGAACCCCGTGCCAGTGTTCTGTGCAGTTTCCATGCGGAATCTTATGTTTGGATGTAGTCGATTGAGGACTTTTAGGATGTTCTTGGCCTGTTTTACATTGTCCGTGATGATGAGAATATCATTATTATATCTTCTGCATAAAGTAGCTTGTTAATTCCGAGCTTAAGATTCCAAGTGGACCATGAATAAATCCGCAAGTACTGGTCCCAGATGGCTTCCCATGGCCACACCACCAATTTATCTACATGCATTTCTAGGAAGTTAACCGTGGATATAGAAACACTCATAAAGACAGAACAGAAAGGCAATTAAATTATCGGGTTTTGGGAGGCATTCCGAATTGGGCTCAACGAAAGGTTAACATGTCAAAGTTCACACAGCCAGTCACCGGTAAGGACCGTGCTCACAAAACACCAAGCTCATCGATTGCCTAGAAGTTACTGATTTCGCAACATCTCGTGGATCGCGAGAAAGCCCTTCGAGTGGGTTTTACTAATTATAACACCGGAATGATCAAGATCGCCGAGGCCATTGCAATCATGCGATGGAAACCAATTCTGTGGCAATAAAAAGACTTGCTCATCACCTTGGCTTCGCCTTGGTCACACTTCCCTCACTTACAGGTGTTTAATTTGTAATCCGTTGGGAAACCCTTTGTAAACATTGTATTTTTTTGCATTAGGCACCAGTTGAGATTCAGGACGTAAGTCGTGCAATCTTGCTCTACTGGCTCCTCTTTTTAAATTGGTTACGAGGAAAGCTTGTTTCATTTTCTGAGACATAAGGTTATCAGCGAATCCTAAGAAAAGCGAGATTTACTTTGGAATCCGTGCCTTCAAAGTATAAACCTGTGTTTATTCGTGATTTTGTTATAACCCTAAAGGTTGATAGTATGTTTTTCTCAATGGAAACTAATTCTGACGGTTAGTTTTAGGCCATGTTCACTGGGGATACTAATCAAAGTACTCTCCTCTATTCCTTCATCAAATAGGGCTTCGAACCCCGGCTGTGACCGCTGATCAGTAGCTGGGTGGTCAATAAATTTGGTGGGCGCTTTGGGGCTCATCAATCATCTGGCAGCTGAAGAAAACAATGTAGCTGCGTAGTTTTTTCTGTTGAAGAACAACTCACAAAGATGATGAAATGTTTTGCAGAGAAAGTAGAGCAAGGCGGAAACAATGACTTTGATTTGTGGATTTTGTTTAATTCACCTCATTGTGTTCGCAGTTGTCGGAAAAACAGTACCTGAGTAACTCTGTTTGTACATGATCAATCACTTCTGTGAACGCAGACGCTCATCGGTAAGCATGAACGAAAGCTACCGGACAGGTCAGCGGAACAAGCGAAAACAGCAACAGAAAGCATAACATGCAATCAGGCTGCAATCATGCAGACAGCGAATCAGTCAGCGCTGAGCGAAGCTCAATACTGAGGTAAATTTGTGTGAAGCAAATAGACTTTAGAGAAGACCGAGTGATTTTGACGTACTTGCGCGTGTGGTGACATACGGTTTTGACAAACTCATCAGCTTCTTTACTTTTTAATTCTGCTCATTTCAACTTTCAAAGCTTGATACAATTTAAAAAATCAACGAACATCTTTAAACTTCTCTAAATGATTTTTCCTTACAGAGATGATGGCATTTGCTACAGTATTCATTCCATCTGCCAATTGCTACGTTTCATTTAACTCTTCGAATCGTTGGATGACCATAAGCCTGGAGTTTTTGGAAAAATCGATGTAAAATGGAAGTTAAGTTAATTAGCTGGGGAATCGTCATCAAATAGGTTCGACTACAATAGAGACGTAAAATGTTTGGTCGTGTTGGGCAAAATCCAATGACTTGAAGAAATCATCTATTAGAGAACTACCTTCACCTGACCCACGCATAGGAAACATCCAGAACCCATTTATGGAAGACACGTGGAAGAAATACGTTTGAAAGTCACAACGTGCGAGAAAACAGAGTAGAATCTCTGCCATAATGAGCACTATATCAAGTCATAGTTCGAAATAATCCGACTCACTCAGAAACAATCTAGTGGGGAAAAAACAGGCTTTTAAGGATGTTATACTTCTGGTCTATGAGAAGTTCTAAACACAGATTATGATCCTTGTGCTTGTGTGGGTGAGTTCCTATTATCTCAAATGTTCTGAAATATTTTGTTGTCACTGTGAAGGTTTGTTGCCATTCACGCAAACTTCCGGAGGAAACAATGCGTTTTTTCCGAATACTCATCAGCTGGGCTTTAAAACATATAGGGAATGTTGATGGTGATTTCTTTCGAGCTGGACGTGATGTTTGCAGACGTTTTGTAGCCAAGCTAGGCAACATCATCAATGCGACTTCGGGGAAGCAACAGTCCTCAGTGGGACCTCTGGGGGTGGTGTCCGATCATGCATTAGACCGTGTCATACTGTGTTCAGAGACTTCTGCTGCTATAGGTGTTTACATAATCATCTTCTTGACATACATCTGATTGGGGTGTACGCTAACAGTGTTCGGGTGTTGAGTCAGAATCTATTCGATTGCGTTAAATACGCTTGATGAATAATGTGTAATAAACGGGAAACCTGAAACAGTTATCATATCTACAACACATTTTGGCCGGTATCAAACGATCCAACTGAGATGGAAAATCAGAAATGTTTGTTGTAAGTACGCTGATCAATTGTGACCTAAATACTGTCTTTTGTGCTCGGAATAAAGATACATTGTTTACTTTCAAGCCAACATCGTGGTTTAGATCGAAACGAGGGCTGAAAGCCTCAGTAACTATCTTCCTTTTCTGATCGTTCATTCTACCTCTGTGTACATTACTATACCATATTTTAAATAGATCTTCATTACACCTAAACGTGGTCGGTACGTGTACATACTTACCTCTGTACTGGATTAATGCTAACCGGAGTGGATTGAACCATCATATTCAACACGTCAGAGTCCGTTTCCAGAGCACCCGGTTTGGAATCTTCCGATGTCGCTCCGTTTTCCTCATCCGGGCTGACGTCTGAATCTGTTTTAATGAAACAGTTTGATAAGAATAGTTTTTTTTATTATTTTGAAACAATTATAAGAAAACTACCTGTGAAACAAAAAATGCAACAGAAACCTATCAATTAAACGTACCGTCTTCTTGCAGTAGATACACATTTCTTTGTTGATCTGACTTGGCTGCAGCCATGCACAGAAAGACAGACAATTACAAGGCAGTCAAGTATTCTGTGAACGGCCGGTCGAGTGATGTGCTTCAAATCACTCGGTACTCTGTTTCGTTGAAAACAGGTCGGTATTTCGCGGGTGCAACAACAACAGATCCTAAATCCATGACCAATTTAAAAGCATAATACAGAATTATGAGCCGGTGATAGTCCTGTCTCCATGGTCCGGTCTGAGATAAGAAGCACTGAACGATTGCTGACTTCGAGTCTAGCACAGAGTGTATCGGGGCGAGTAATAAGTCAGTCCGGCAGTCAGCCAGCCAGTCAGTCAGTCAGTCAGCCAGAATGCCAGTCAGCCAATATTCAAATATGGGCATATTGCAAGCTGTGCTCCCGGCTTCTTGCTCTCCCGTTTCGCTCCCGGTTGCCCAGTCATCATCATCATAGACCAATCAATCCGCACGGATTCTGCCTGCTTGAACTGTTCTGGCCGAATAGGCGTTACCATGGTTTGCGTGTAAACATAGACAGACAGGCAAACCAGGGCACGTGACACGTTCTGTGCATTTCCCCAGCCAACCGAATTGTACAGTGAGTAGTTGAGTATAAATAACAGATATTTGAGCCAAAGTAACACTCAGAATAGAGGCCGTTAGTGCAGGTGGGAAGCTGAGAGGGATAAATGAAACCTAACTAGGTTCGAAATAGTATGCCTGTACGCACGGATAAACGTATATCAAGATGCTAATGCTAAAATATCATCTAAGGTAGATCTTTCAGATATTTCTTCATTAGCGACTGTGGGTCATTCACACTTTAGAAAAATCTATGATATCTATATGACACTTGTTGAATAAGAGAAGTGAGAAACAGTTCAGTACAGAGCTTAACACATTGTGCTTACTGTTTTCTAAAGAATGACAGGCAAGTGAATCAGAAATAAAATGTGTGACTTTTGTTTGGATTGGCATTTCAAGGTATTTTACGACTGAATGTTTTATTCGCCAACAGAGATCTAGCCGGCTTTTTTCCTCCTCATACGTGTTACCAGCAGTTCAAGTTCAATGGCGACCTCCGGATCAACAAAGAGACATCTGTTCATCTGCCCCATTATGTCAACATCTGATTACCTGTAAAGCAATCCATGGGGAGCAACCTATACCGTTACACTTACATCAAACGCAGTACACACCTTTGGATTAGTACTTGAAAAGAGGAAGGAAAGCAACCGTCGATCACAATAGCAAGGTTACTATGCAGCGGTATGATAGATGGACAAACAGATCACTGACTTAAATGCCAAGGATAAGGCTGCGGCAGATTATATGGGGCGCTTCAGTAATTCGCTAACTACCTGTACACTTGGCAATTCAATATGTCCTGATATCAATGAAGGTGGTCCATATATCCGTTTTCCTAACATCATGGTAACCATTTGATGCGTTATGGTACCACGTAAATGGTATCTTGAAAAGTACATTTCCTTTGATCTCCTTCCTAGCTGAATCAAAACAAGCCGATTGGTTAGTTAATCCCAGTGAACGAACGAGTATATCCGAACTGAGAAATAAAAGGTCACATACACACATAAATACGTCACTTCCACCAATCAACTTGACCTACCTAACCTTGTTCGGGGTCCACCACACAAATTAACTACCCAGCTGCCTGGATCAGTATACACGCTGTTTGCACTTCTCACAGGGAACCGTTATGCAAATCTGTTAGAATCCTGTCCAACGGTAAACATACGAAATGATGCCATCATCCAACTTGTGAAGGGTTGGTATCTCAGTATGTTAAGCAGCCGAAATTTCAACTGCTCTGCATTTCGAAAGTTCAGGAATTCATCGTTTTTTGCCCTATATTTGAAAGCTTTATTCGTTCCTCTCTTCATGATCTGCTTCTTTCTTATTCCGCCGGTATGGGTCCCCCTTCAATCTTCCATGGAATCCTGAATAGGGACTTTAAGTTGCTCTCCAGACGATCAACACACTTCTCTAGATTTTCCGGGTTTTCTCGTGAATTTTCTCTCAGTTCATCATTTTAAAACATACAAAGCCATGTTTTTCATTATCCACGAAAATCATGAACAATTTTTCGCGCTCGTTACACACAGATCTTCTAAAGCGTGTGCCCTCTTCTTTCACCCCACCCCACTAAACGTATATTTCCTCGCAAAACTGCTTACTGGTCCCCTGTGGTGCCTTAACTTGTCCGATTTCTCGGAAACCCGGAACCCGTCGTTTTTGAACCTAACTCTCTCATCGTGTTATGTTTCGTTTTTCCCAACTTGCCACAATTCTTTATTGGCTTTATTTTAGCTTTATGGCCGGGGTATATAAAGCATACACTTGACTTGACAATAAGTAAAATTACTGGACAGTTGTTTCGACATGGTTTGGTCTCATGAGCAGTACGAATCCAGCGATCGAACCCGGGACCTCACAGGTGGAACGCAAGCATACTATCCACTCGGCCTTCGGGCAGCAGATCAGACCGTTTCTCAATTTTCATTAACACGATGTAGCACAACCAAACTTTGCGAGCTTATTGCAGGCCATAGACCTTGCTCACCTCAGCGCTAGCCTACAGGGTTATGGCTCAGTTGGAAACAATCACCACCTAACTACTTATTTCATGTGAGTAATGGAGGATTCGAATCAATTGCAAAGGATAAACTCGTCGTTCACTCTTCATTTCCGTTATACGCGACTAATTTACCCTTTGAAATTGAATCAAATCCGTCATTACTCACGTTTCTCATGCAATAAAGTTTCCAACCGAGTCAGAACTACGGAGGTGAGTGCTGAGATGAGGGAGGACCGATACTTACAACGAGATCTTGTAGACGGGTTGTATTATATCGTGTATATTCTAAATGAGAAACGGACGGGTTATTTTTGATCTTATTATGACTTCACAATTACCTAAGATGAGCTTAGTAAGGGTCTACTGAATATTTTTGAAAAGGTAATCGGTATCTTACAAATCAGCTCGTGGTAACGTGTCTGAGAAATTTTACTTGGAAAAGGTAGGCATTGCCTCTTCAGACAAAAATAGAAATTTGTTGAGTTTCAGCAAATCCATATTTTTGGTGCATTTTTAGTCTCTAACATGATCATCTTACAAAAGCGGCCCAATATTTTCAGTTCGTTTCATCAGCTTTCATTTGTTCACTTGCTTCAGACTTTTCTCTTGGACCATAGAAAGCTCAGTGGCTTGTATGAGGTCATTAGGTTCCCTATCAGCCCAGCAGTATTGTTCGAAGCGTATTGCTTGCCTGCACACAACCGTCATCACCAAAATGACGGCACGCCGAGGACAAAAACGATCATCGTATTTGACCATTTTCAGTAAAAATTATTGCTTTCCTTCTTTACTGAATCGGACAGAGGATAACTTTTTCTGGCAGTCGCTGTCATCGACGGTTCGCCATGCTTCAAACAGTTATAGAGTTATACGGGAGCAATTAAATCACCAACCCTCCTGGATTTACTGGTCACGTATAAAGACTATTTTGCTTTCTTTTACTTAACAATCAATTGTGCGAACTAATTTCAAGTGGGGTGGACTCAATCCAATAAGGTTCGACCTAACGATGCACATTGGTAATATGAGTTGCATATACGGAGGCAGCAGGAATTCTCGAACACCAAATAATCAGTCTTTCCGCTGCCAATAACCAGTACCGAAAAATTACAGATCATTAGCGCAGAGTTCTGGGCAGTCTGAATCCAATTCTGGTGCACAAGCGCATACGTATACAGTCTCCCCCCAGTATGTGCACGCGTTCGTAAATCTAGGCGTTGACTGCGATGTTCTGGACACAGTCCACTTGACATGATTGATACAGACAATGAATACTGCATCAGAGCTTGGTTTCACTTATAAAGAAATCTACGCTGATGATCAGTAATTTTTAACTACTGGCTTTCAAGAATCATGAACGTGAGAACTCGACCTGAATCGTATGACAATGTAACCAGATAGTGTACGAGAATTCCTAATTCATATATATATAAATATATATATATATATACATATATATATTAATTTTCATATAATTAGACACCGAGGTTCAGAATATTGCAAGCCGGGTCATAAATCCTAAGACGGATGCAGAAAAGAGCGCAACATGATGCTTTTCATAATCATACTGAAGTGGTATGCGTTATACGGCGGCTGGAGCACCGTAGGTGATTAGGAAAACAGTATTCCGATGATTGAAATAAGTTTTTTTTGGGTGGGGTACAACCTTCCCCCTTTCAACCTTGCCCCAGTGTATCTGTTTTATTTATTTTATTTTATTATTATTATACCTTTCAAAAACTAACGGTTTTGCTTCTCGTTTGATTCAACTCGGTTGAGCATTGACATTCCTCTTGATCGTCTTATTATACGGTCCGCCTACTAAGGATCAGTGTCAAGTATGTTTGCGTGATTTACTGTACTATTGTACCGTTTAAGATACCGTATTATACGTGATTCCACTGTTGATCAGTGTTTATTTTATTCTATTACTGTTAAACTTTTCGGTTATTTGTCGGGTTTGCACTGAACAAAAGCAGGAGTTTCCAGATCACGACGTTGCTCGGTTGAATCATACGCGGGTAAGACATTTCCAAAAGAGTAATCATGAAATTATCATGTATTGATAAAAAATGAAGAAAAAGATTTCATCAGTCACTCAGTGGTAAAGGAATAAGTACGCCTGCTTTCTACCCGTGAACTTTTGGGTATGATCCTGAAGAAGTCAACTGAATTCGCATAGTTGATGAAGGTTAACGAGATCAATACCGGAGTACAGATCTTCATAGTTTTGTCGATTACGACGAAATTCACTATAGACAAAGTTTTGAAAATCGGTTATCTTAGTTCGGGTGAACTGAATTCATTTCATCTGTTCACCGGTTAACGTTTCATCACCAGCCGAGGTGATATATTCCGCGCTTGTCAAGTGAAGATGTTCTGATTGTACCCGTTTGCTGACACGTTATTCCTCAGTGACTATTTTGTTCTT